ATATATATATATATATATATATATATATTATCATATATTATTTATAACACCACTTCTATGTGTGTATATATATATATATGAGTGCGTGCGTGCGTGCGTGCGTCCGTGTATATGTGTATAGAATGCAATGTTTCTTTTTGTAGATCTGTTTTGAACGTATTGGAGTGCAAAACATTGAGGTATGCTAGGTTATTGTACTCATGATTCAAAGATTATTTTTCGATAGGAAATCAAAGATTGAAATTGTTGATAGTTTAAAGCAGAATATTTTATTATTTGAAAATGAAATAAATTTATTAGATACTGTCAATATCACCATATATCACTTATTACATATTAACGGTGTAATGGTACATTTTCCAAATTGCATACACTATTGACTAAACATAATTAAACTATTAAAATTAAATGTTTATTTTAATGACGTATAGTGGACATTTTTCAGATACGCAGAAAATTAAATTAATTTTAATATTTTTGCTTATAATAAAATTAGTAATTTTATTATAGGTCTTTAAGTTAAAATTAACATTTTGCTTTTAATAGTGAACATTTATTGAAACGAATTTTTTTATTTCTATTTTTTGTATAAGTGAACCGAAATATAAATTAGCGTTTTTTCACAAAGCTCTGGATGATCAAAAGTGGAAAAAGACACAAATTTATTTGCATTCTTGACATATAAAGAACTAAAGGCGTATACTTTGCAGAAAATATAGTATTTAAACGAATCGACATAATTGATTTGTGCAAGTATAACGTTTACGATTCTTGATGTTAGCAGCAGTAACTAGACAGTATCTCGCTATTCCTGCAATTCAAGTCACAACAGCGAATATTTTCTGATGCTGGTAACATTTTTGCAGCCATATACGAAGTAAATACCGAAGTAAATACCGAAGTAATAATGAAGTAAAAAATTAATATCAGAAATCGTCGAAAAGTTATACTTTCTACACTTCAATTTAAAGTAAAACAATTTTTCACAAATTGATTTTTTTTTATGAATTTTTGTAATTATAATACATGATACATATGGAAATGTTTCTAAACTCTCTCTTGTAATGGAATCGTAAAATTAACCTTACGCTATTAAAACTGTTATCAAATTTAATATACTTTGAATTACATGAATTAAATTTAATTTTATGATACTAAATTAAATTTAATGTGTCTGTAACTGAAAAGTATATTTGTTTATATGTACATGAAATTTAATGTACTTTTCACAAAATTTTACGAAATGTAGTACATTTTTTATTAAATTTCACGTAGATTTGCGTAAAATTTAATATAAGTAAACGTTAAATTTAAATTACTTATAATTTCATTTTTGTTGGTAACATTAAGTACTTTCAATGTACCTGCTTGACAATGTTCCAACTATAAATCTGGTTTTTAGAGTCATAAATATTCTAAACTAAAAAGTAATTTTATACATTGTATTATATTAAAATTAGTGTTTCTTTCATTTAGTGAAAAAATTTTTGAAGATTATTTGCTTTTTCTAAATATATACAATAAATTAATATAGGTACAAAATCGAAGAAAAAATTGATATGATTTCAAATGAAAACTTTTTTTAATTTTTATTATAATATATATTATTATAATGTTATATCTTCGATGATATTAACATATAAATAAAAAGATTACAGTAATATGAAAAATCTATTGCTTTTTCTGATACATGTCGTTGCATTATTCAAATCTACAAATTAGAACTGAATATTCTGTTTATTATGCGAGTTATTGAATTATTTAATTATAGTTAAAAATATTAAACTCGAAATTCAATGAAATATTTATTTTATGTAAATAAGCTGAATTGCCTAATTTAATATAAATGCAATGCAGAAAGAAATAATATTGTCGGATAACAAAAACACATGATGGTTATACACTTTTCTAGAAAAGGTGTATGTTAAATGATCGATTTGATTATAGCAATAATGAAACAGATGTTTATTTTCCATAAAGAAATACATACTTTATTCGGGGGAATCGTGCTATAATAAACTTCGCAGATGCGGTACGATCCTTTCTAATATATATTTGAATGTTGTGACTTATTAATATAATGTCAACTTTAAATTTTATATTTCTTACATAAATATTTTATAATATGTTAATTTTTTTATTTCAATAATAATTTTTATTTTTTGTCGAATCTAAGCGATACTAACAAGTGACACCTAAAACTGAGGGTTAAACGATTTTGATCAAATTAGTTTATATTTTTCTTTCTTTCCTTTTTTCCTCTCTTCCTTTTTCATTTT